AAAAGAGCAGACGGCATGATGGAGAATTTTGAAATTTGGAATAATAGTCACAAATGGAGTGCAGGCTGAATGTTGCAAAGCGTTTTGGAAATGTGAAGATTACGAAAAGTTCTAAAATGGTACCATTTGGTATTATGTGAACGGATAGAATTAAAAACATGAAAAAAGGTATGAGAATCAAAGTTGGAAAGATAGTTTTGGAAATGTATACTAAGTGTGCGAACTGTAGTAAATGGTACTCACTTTGGTTTAGGGTGAACGAATGAATCCGGAATTTTGTATTGAAGTCCATGTGGGTGGAAGGTGGTTTTAGAAATGTGTACTACAAGTGCACAAAAAATACTAAGTAGCACCATTTTTGATATAATTTGGTATTGGATGAACAGATAGTGATTTAAATCAGAAATTTCGTACTAGGGTTGCCGTTTACGTGTAGCCTGGACGTATGGAGATGATTTCGGATATTTGTACTTGTAATTGTACGAAAAGTGCTGTGTGATACTATATTTGGTATTGGGTGAAGGAATAGATCTAAAATTCTGAGACTTGGTATTTAGATTACTGGTTTACAAACGAGTACTAACATTTTACGAGAAGTACTAAATGGTACTAAAATTGGTATTGGGTGAAGGGATAAGGCTGGAACCCTCAAATTTGATGTGGATGGCACTGTCGGTGTCCGTGGTTGACGAAAGGATCTGGTTTTGGATATGCGTAAGTCAGTCGTCCGACAGCTATTAAAATTATACCAGTGACAGCTCATCATATTGTTTACAAGCGTACAAAAGCATTTTCGTGAGAATTTTTCACAAAAAAAGTTATTAGTGATGGAATTCAAGCGTGACAGTCTGATTTCCTTATACTTGGCTGGAAAACCACAAGTGGCTATCGTTTAAGCACTCCAGCATTTGAATGTGAATAAATCTTTTGTGTCTCGTACCATCGCTCGTTACCCTGAAACTTGGTAGCGTAGCCTGACTTCAAGGAAGTGGACGAAAAAAACAGCGACATCAGCAGAAATGGTTTCGAAAAGTAAAGAAACGACTTTATCGAAACCCAAAAATTCCAAAAAGTACAAGAACTTACACCGCAACAGAAAGAAAATAGACCCAAGCTAAAGAGTTGCCTCGCTTGGCCGAAAGTGGTGAACTGCCGAATTTGGTTTTCTTCGATGAGAAAACATTCAACAAATATAAACTTATTGTAAAATTTGATGCCATTTCCGATATTTTTTGCTTTCATTCAACAAAATCTAAAAAAAAAAATGTAAAAATTATGGCGTTTGACTTTATTGCAGTTTTTTTATCCCACCCTGTACATAAAGCTACATAAATAAGATTTACTCTAAAAACGAATTCAAGGAACTATTGCTAGTCGTAAGTTATTGAAATAAATTACAAAGTTTTTAAATGGACAAAGATCAACTTGTACTCTAAATTATTATTAATCGTCAACAAAAAATCCAACAACAACACAGTCAATGTTCGTTAAACGGCATGTGCATTATTGATGACGACTTTGATTCCAAACCAAAATCTGCAAATGTAGGGTAATTAAAATGCATTGATTTTTAGAACTTCACACCCGCCTGTCGCTTTAACTTAAAAACTTGTTCTTTCTTTGTTTGAAAGTTCTTAAAAATCTATTAACTGCTTAAATGGTAATTGATTTATTTTCAATTAATTTGAACACATGAACAGAATTTTTAATTTAAATATTGTAGAAACCGTTATCTTGCGAAACAAACAAAAAACTAAATTTTTTTTGTTAAGACTTAGACAGAAGCAACACCGTAATATTGCAGATTTATTGATACAGTTCTGTTTATTTTTTGAAATATTTTAAGAATTATTTCAGTTGTTAGAATTATTGAAACAAATAGTAGAATTTAAGCATCGGCACTTCTTACAAACAAAAACTTTAAATCAGGAGGCTCCTACATATAAGCGCTACTTCGAAACATGGACCTTCCACTTATTGCAAAGATATTCTACACCATGAGAAACCTAGTTACCAAGTCTAAGGAAAATACTCAGCAACTGTCGCCAAAACCCACGAAATCTAAAATCAGAGAATAACTGTATGAGAGCTATGCCAGAATGTATGCAAGGAGGTTTTCTACATAGTAAAAATTTAAAACTCCAAAATTTGACAAGATCAGATGGAACGAGTAAAAAAGCTGCTAAGTTCTGCTGGGCCGAATTTTTAATACCCTCCAACATATGGAACGAATTTGGATATTTTCAAATAAAAAAATTCGCCAAAAAATTCTGTTAAAATCTTAAAAATACCGAATATAGCCATTATATTGGGTATATACGAAGACGTAGACCTGCATAGGCAACTTTTGTCACAAGCCATTACAATATTGAAATACGAAAAAAATCGGTGAATAATGTAGCTAAAATCATCAAAATACAGAATATAGGAAGGTACTGATTTATGGGGCTTGTACGAAGACCTGGACCTGCATAGACAATTTTCTGTCATAGCCTACAGTAACCATTACGAATTCTAGGTACGCCATTTGAAACAACTCAAGAATGAATAACGTCCCTAAAATCGCCAAATATCGAAAATTCTGGGGTACCGTTACTGTACGATATCTTCAACCTATATAGATATTTCTCTTCCAGGGATTAAAGCGCTTGTAAAGAACTACTAGTATGGATTTTTAGACAATTTAATTGAAAAATGTTGCTAAAATCATCAAAATACCGAATATAGGGAGGTACCGTTATACTGGGGATAACGATATCGTGGACATATATAGAGAATAATCTTCCAGTGGATGAAGTACTCAGAAAGAAATCCTTATGTAGATTTTCAAAATACCGAATATCGGGAGTACCGTTGTATGGGGGTTATTCGATATCGTGGACCAATATAGAAAATTTTTCCCTGGGGGTAAAGTACTCAGAAGGACTCCTTATGTGGATTTTGCGATGAAAAAACTACAACCAATTTCAGACTGCTGCCACTTCAAATCCACTCGTCCGACAGCTGTTAAAATTACTCCAGTGACAGCTCATTATATGGTTTACAAGCGTACAAAAGCATTTTGGTGAGAATTTTCCAGAAAAAAGGTATTCGTGATGGAATTCAAGCGTTATAGTATGATTGCTTTATATTTGTCTGAAAACCCACAAGCGGCTATCGTTGGAGCACTCCAGCATTTAAATGTGAATAAATCTTCGTTACCGTCAAGGAAGTGGACGGAAGAAAAAAGCAACATCAGTAGAAATGGTTCGAAAAGTAAAAAAGTCGTCCGACGTCAAGGAAGTGGACGGAAGAAAACAGCAACATCAGAAGAAATGGTTCGAAAAGTAAAAACACGACTTGATCGAAACCCGCGTGGCAATATTCTATTAGGCAAATATTGAAAAATGAGCTCGGGGTATGGCCATTGAAATTCCTTACACCGCCGCAGAAAGAAAATAGAAAATAGACTCAAAAGAGCTAAAGAGTTCATTCGCTTGGCCGAAAGTGGTGAACTGCCGAATTTGGGCTTCTCCGATGAGGAAACATTCGTTTTCCAGCAGTTTGTAAACAAACAAAATTATCGTGTTTACTTGCCAAAGAGGTCAGCTGAAAATGTGAACCTTCGTTTGGCCACCAGCAATCAAGCGCCGGCCATGGTGATGGTGTGGGCCGCCATAACAGCCGATGGTCGCTCTCCGCTCGTATTAATCGACCGTGGCATCAGAATATTATCGCGAAAATAATCTGGAGGGTGTATTAAAGCCTTGGGCATGCAAACATTTTGGCCGGAGACCTTGGACATTCCAACAGGACTCAGCACCATCGCACTCAGCACGCGCCACCCAAGAATTGTTACAAAATGAGATACCTCGCTTCATCTCCAGCGCACAATGGCCACCAAAATCTCCCGATACCAATCCGTTTGACTATTGTGTCTGCAGTATTTTGGAAAGCAAGGTTGGCACTAAATAACACCAAAGTGGCGACCACCTCAAGCAAGCGCTTCACCGGGAATGGGACAAAATACCGCAGAGCAACATTCAAGCAGCGTGTTTGGTTTCATTGGCCGTTTGAAGGCCTTAATTCGTGCCAAAGGTGACCAATTCGAACTAATCTATTCTTATTCTAAAATTTAATGCTATTTCCGACATTTTTTGCTTTAATTAATGAAATTTAAAAAAATGTCAAAATTATGGCATTTGAGTTTGTTGCAGTTTTTCTATCTCATCCTGTATTGGGAGGTTTACCATTGTATGGGGGCTACTTATTATCGTGGACTTACATAGACAATTTTTCCCTGGGGGTAAAGTACTCAGAAGGAACTCATTGTGTAGAATGTCAAACAATTCTATTGACTAATTTGGCTAAAATCATCGGGGGTAAAATTATATGGGGCCTATACGAAATCGTGAACCGATATAGCCCATCTAGCTTCCCATCCTAATTCGAATTAGAATTTTACGTTGTTCAAGATTATATATACTTTGTTGGATCTGACATGAGTATTTCGAGGATTTACAAACGGATTGACAAAGTTAATAACCATCCGTAGTATGGCTGCAGGTATTAAAAGAATACTTAAAATTTGGACTAAGAACCTAGAATCCTTTTCAGTGTTTTGATATTTATAATACCAAAATCACTTGATCTATAACTATCATAGTCACCACAATTTGCAACGAATTAGAAAAAAATGATAAAATTGTCGCGGTTAACTGTCAGAAATACAAGACATGGTTGGATCTATTTAAAACGTCCTGAAATGAATTTCAACCAAAACCGATGTCATTTCGATAGGAAATAAACATTATGGCCCAAAAATATATAGTTTGTATATTAAAACTTAGAAAAGTCAAAATATCTCGTTTTCAAAGGCTTCTTTAAAAGATAACTACATCGGAAAGTAAGGCGCAAGGAGCTTGGTTGTTTCTTATATAAAATATGGCCCAATTTTCATACCAAACATTTAACAAACTATATCCTATGTCAAACTTTTATATAATTGATATTAATTTAAATTTTGTTTGCATTTTTAATCATTTATTTATTTTAGCTGTGCACACACAATTCGATCATCTATTATTTAACCGATTTAATGGCTAGCCAATTGTGGGAGATGGTCACCGGTGGGTTGGAAACCATTTTCATCGGCAACATATTTGACGGTATAGACCTTACCGTCATGATGATCCTTCCACGAAAATTCACCGTGGACAACGATGGCATGTTCATCACCATGTTCGCCCTTGACTTCCTTCAGTTTGCCCTCCTCATGGTGGCTGGTACCGTCACTGGTTTCGGCACTAAAAGCACAAACAATTGAAAATATTGAATCCAAAAACTTTTTTACAATTTTTAAGTTTGTACTCACACAAAGGAATATCCATCATGTTCCACATTGGATTCAAGTTTTACAATTTCAGCATGCTCATGATCGGGTCTGGGAGCAGCCAAGGCAACGGCAAAAAGAGCAGCAAAAACAATAAAGAATTTCATGATGCTGTAGTTGGTTGTTGTTCAAGTGGAGGCAAATAGCTTTGTGACTATTTTTTCAGTTGAAGACGCTTCTTTATATATTAAACGGTGTTATCTCGAAGATCATCACTGTTATTTGACTGCTTGGTCTAGTTTATGTCTAAGAGAAGAAGCCAAATGAGGAACTTGTTCCAAATAATTATTTTATGAATTTATGCAATCGAAATTACATAATACCAAATTAGCACAAGCCATACAAGTAATATAAATTCAAAACAGTATAAATAATTTATTCTTCTTTTAATCAAGTGGCAGTTATTTTTGTGCTATTTAGTAATTGTTTCAAAGAGTACAGGGTGGGCATGGTTTATGTTTCTCTATGACGATAAGACTGTGAATGCGAAAAAAACACATCATTCCAAATAAATTTTCACAATTTTAGATTTTTTTTTATAAATAAATCAAAAATGTAGAAATCGTATTTGGAGTGGTATGTTTTGTTTGCCTTCAGTTTAGTATCGTCATACAGGAAGGAAGGAGTGGAAGGAATTCTAAAGTTAGACAGAGGCGAACCCGTTATACCTAACACTATGACATATATATTATAAAAATGGAAACAAATTTATTTACTTACGTACTTACTTAATTATACTGTGCGGCAAAATTCATGTTTTTCAATAATTACATGGAAAAGCGAGCAGATAATAAAGGTAGAAAAGGGCGGGGCCGACTTTATGACACCCTACACCTCTATACATATTTAGTAGAGCTATCCGTTACAAATAAACTTTCATATTGGGAATTTGTGTGAAGTAGGCTATACAAACTATTAACCTTTTTTGAATGTGTATTATAGCGTTAGATCAGTTATAATTTGGAATCTGGAGAACTAATATGCAGGGTGAGATAGAACAAGTTAAAAATCAGGAAGTGCGGCCGGACCAAACTTTGAATACTCTCCACCATTTGCAACGAATTTGGACATTTTCAAAAAATAAAATCCTTAAAAAATTCTGTTAACATTTTAAAACTACCGAATTTAGCCGTTATATTGGGGTCTATACGACGTGGACCTACATAGGCATTGTTTGTCATAAGCCATTACCACATTCAAATGCGAAACTTCAAATAAACGGTGAATAATGTAGTTAAAATCATCAAAATATCGTATACAGGTAGGTACCGTTATATCGGAGTTTTGCGAAGACCTGAACCTGTATAGACATTTTTCTGTCACATTCTGTGGCATCCATTACGACCTTCAAATACAACATCTCAAAAAATTTCGGTGGGTATTTTACCTAAAATCGTCAAAATACCGAATATAGGGAGGTACTGATATATGGGACCTATACGAAGACCTGGACCTTCATAGACATATTTCTGTCATAGACAGTAGTTCCCATAACGAACTCTAAATACGTAATTTCAAACAATTCTGGTGAATAATGACGCTAAAATCATCAAAATACCGAATATTAGGAGGTACCTTTATGTGGGGACTATACGAAGACGTGGCCTGCACAAACAATTTTCTGTCTTAGGGTGTAGTATCCATTTCGAACTTCAAGCACCAAATTTGAAACAATTTCGGTTAATATTATCGCTAAAATCATAAAAATACCGAATATCGGGAAGTACCGTTATATGGGGGCTATATGAAAACGTGGACCTACGAACAACTACGAACTTAACCTGCCTACTGAAAAAATAAACAAGGGTGCAAAATGTTAGCCATCTATATCAATTCATTCGAAAGATAGCGTGATTACAACATACAGAAATCGCTAAATCGACTTAGAATTTTACGCTGATCAAGAATATATATACTTTGTCGGATCTGAAATGAGTATTTCGAGGAGTTATAAACAGAATGACAAAGTTAATATACTCTCCATACTATGGTGGAGGGTATAAAAACTGCAACAAAGTCAAACGCCATAATTTTTACATTTTTACACATTTTATTGAATGAAAGCAAAAAATTTCGGAAATAGCATCACGTTTTAGAATAAGTTTAGAATTGTTCGAATTGGTCACCTTTAACACGAATTATGGTTTGGCCCGTATCACGAGCGACGGTACGAGACACAAAAGATTTATTCAGATTTAAATGCTGGAGTGCTCTAACGATAGCCACTTGTTGCCTTCTAGCCAAATTTAAAGAAACCACACTATCACGCTTGAATTCCTTCACGAATAACTTTTTTTCTGGAAAATTCTCACGAAAATGCTTTTGTACTACAAAATTGTTTGTCATAAAATTATTCATATATGTTGAAAACACATTTTAGGTTTAAAGCCCTGCTTTATGTGAGTTTATGCAAAAATATCCTACAAAACATAGTTTAAGAAGAATGACCTCGAAGACCAAAATGTTCTTCATAAAATTTCACTTACAGTGATTCCTTACGATATTTGCATAAAAGTTCCGAAACCGAAAATATTGATATTTTTTCTATCAACTGAGGAAGGATTTTGACCATATTTTCCTAACGATTAGCTTGAAAATGTTGAAGATTTCCAATAAGTTCACATTTATACCCTCACCATGCTATGTTTTCGACATGGGCATTTCAGACCACATCAATTTATCCGCATCTGTTCATCCGTCCGCCTGTGGAATGTATATTCATAAAATTTTACTCAAATGTATCCTAGATCCCTAGACTTTTGGGTTTGGAAAATGGCAATATAGATGCACATTTTGGTATAGTCCCCTAACCTAACCTACATCCGTTTCATATAATCAATTTCGTTTTGAGTTCGTTATGGCCACCATATCTTATAACATATAAAAAAAACAGCTAAGTTCGGCCGGGCTGAACTCACAAGAAACTCCTTGTGTGGATTTTTAAACAATTCCATCAAAAAATGTGGCTAAAATCATCAAAATACCGAATATCGGTAGGTACCGTTATATGGGGCATATACGATATCGTATACGATATCCTGATGTGGATTTTGAGACTATTCCATTGCAAACTGTGCTTAAAATCATCAAAACACAGAATATTGGTGGGTACCGTTATATGGGGTTATACGATATCGTGGACCTATATAGATAATTCTCTTCCAGGGGATAAAGTAATCACAAGGAATTCTTTTGGTGTATTTCAAGACAATTCGATTAACACATTTGGCTGATATCATCAAAATACCGAATATCGGGTCCATACCATATCGTAGACCAATATAAACAGTTCTCTTCTAGGGGTAAAGTACTCAGAAGGGACCCCTGGTGTGGAATTTCAGACTATTCCATTGAAAAATATGGCTAAAATCATCACAATACCGAATATCGGAAGGAGTCCCGTTATATGGGGGCTATACGCTATCGTGGACCTTTGTAGACAATTCTCTTTCAGAGTGTAAAGTACTCACAAAGAACTCCTTATGTAGAATTTCCGACAATTCAATTTAAAAATGTGGCTAACATCACCACAATACCGAATATCGGAATGGGTCCCGTTATATGGGGACTTAACGATATTACGGACCGATATAGTCCATCTTCGAACTTAACCTGCCTGCAGACAATAGACAGATCTATGCATAATTTTAACACCATCGTTTTTACTGTAGCGTGATTGCAACAGACGGACGGACGGATAGGATGGGCATATGTCTTAGAATTTATTTCGATGAGTTACAAATGTAATGACGAGCTTAATATAAAATTTTGTGTAAAAATTTTCTATATAGGTCCACAATTTTGAACAGCCAATTTAACAGAAGCTCCAAAAAATGTGAATAGTTTTAGTCAAACTTTTCAATCATTTCATTTCTCGATTCTATCATTTCAAACTAAATAACTTAACCACTCGACATTAAACACCATCCAAAACGATGTATCTTGTATAAAAACTGCTCCTTAGTTCTATTTTCAAATACTGTTATTCTTATAATATATTCAATATCACGCGCCTAATAAATTTCTTTGCTAAGTTCAAGTTTTAACCGCTTTAAATACACGAAATTGGAGAAAGACCATTTCACGTTACCATTACCATAAAGATATAAAAACCATTGATTGAGAACTATTCAACATCCATTGCGGTTTTGAATTCAACTGGAAGAAGATCTCAAAATTACAGTCATGAAATTCTTTATTGTTTTTGCTGCTCTCTTTGCTGTTGCCTTGGCTGCACCCAGACCCGATCATGAACATGCTGAAATTTTGAAACTTGAATCCAATGTGGAACATGATGGCTATTCTTTTGCGTAAGTACAATCTAATTTTTTTAACATTTCTCGTTTTTATATTTTCAATTGTTTTCCTTTTTAGTTCCGAAACCAGTGACGGCACCAGCCGCCATGAGGAGGGCAAACTGAAGGAAGTCAAGGGCGAACATGGTGATGAACATGCCATTGTTGTCCATGGTGAATTCTCCTGGAAGGATCATCATGACGGTAAGGTCTATACCGTCAAATATGTTGCCGATGAAAATGGTTTCCAACCCACCGGTGACCATCTCCCACAATTGGCTAGCCACTAAAAAACATAGGTAGAATTAAAGGTGATCTGTGTGTGTGCATAGCTGAGTAACGAATTCTTATGTTAAATCAAAAAATAAAATAGCAAGGCATATATAAAGTAAATGATGTGTTAATTTCTTTGTGATTAACCAACCACGTATAGGTTAAAAAGTATTGCTAAAATGAATCGTTTTTTAGAAGAAAAAAAATGGTATGCTCATGCAATCAACTTCTAAATATCATCATCATAAGCTCGAAATGACAGAATTACAAAATATAAAGGTTTTAAAGAGATTTTCACATTCCTTCCTTCGTATAATCGAAGAATTTGAGAGCTATAGAAAAATTAAAAAAAAACAGAAAATTAAGAAAAACTCACGAATTTTTAATTTGAATTGATACGGTCCATATAATTTAGTGTTTGATAATTATTTCAAGCAAATATTGACCGCACTGCGCCTCAAATGGTTCATCCGCTGATTCCGATTTTGGCATACTTTTTCCCAACATTCCGACCGGTATCAACGAATAAGTGCGACATTTGAAGCGGTCTGGTCTGTATAGAAATGAACTTTAACATAGCCCCACATAAAATAGTGCCAAGGCGTTAAATCGCACGTTCTAGGTGTCCAATTGACAGGTCCCGAACGTGAAATAAAATTTTCACCGAACATGCTTTTCAATAAGTCTCCTATATAATGAGGCACATGTCATACAAGTCAAACTTTTGCATTTTGGTTAAAAAAAAGTTGGATATTAACCCACAATAGAGGTCATTCACGGTTATATTAAGATTCACAACATCTTTGAAAAATTACGGTCAAATTATGCAATTATTATGCTAGATTCTTGAAATTTTTTATTTGGGTCAATGTTTGTGGATTTTGGTGAGATAAAGCTGGTTTTTCGAAATTTCAGACTAGAAGTGTACTGAAATGCATGAAATTTCGTACAGTTTGATATTTTGGTGAACGGATACAGCTAAAATATTGACATTTACTATAAAAATTAAATTTGGTAGGTTGTGTTGATATATTTTTTTTTTCTTGGAAATGTGTACTAAGCGTAGCAAATGTTCTAAATGGTTCAACGGATTCAACTGGAAATATAATGTGTTGTTATTGGGGTCTCTGCTGCTCGGTAGGGTTCAGATAAAGAGTTGGGTATGGAAATGCGTTCAGCAAACGTACGGAATGTACTAAATGGGACTATTTGAAATCTGAAATTTGTCTTTGGAATCATTGTTAAGGTGTAAGATTTAGATTTGGAGGTAGTTTTGGAAATACACCCTAAAAAGTACTAAATACAGGGTGAGATGAAAAAACTGCAACCCACTTCAGACTGCTGTCATTTCTAAGTCACTCGTCCGACAGCTATTAAAATTATTCCACTGACAGTTCATTTTATTGTTTACAAGCGTACAAAAGCATTTCGGTGAGAATTTTCCAGATAAAAAGTTATTCGTAATGGAATACAAGCGTGAATGGAATACACGTGTGATTTCTTTATATTTGGCTGGAAAACCACAAGTGGCTATCGTTAGAGCACTCCAACATTTAAATGTGAATAAATCTTTTGTGTCTCGTACCATCGCTCGTTACCGTGATACTGGTAGCGTAGCCCGACGTCAAGGAAGTGAACGGAAGAAAAGAGCAATATCAGCAGAAATGGTTCGAAAAGTAAAGAAGCGACTTGAATAAAACCACCTCGCAGTGACCGCAAAATAACTCATAAGCTGAACATATCGCAATATTCCATTCGGCAAATATTGAAAAATTAACTCGGGGTAAATCCATTGAAATTCCAAAAAGTGCAAGAACTTACACCGCAACAGAAAGAAAATAGACTCAAAAGAGCTAAAGAGTTGCTTCGCTTGGCCGAAAGTGGTGAACTGCCGAATTTGGTTTCCTCCGATGAGAAAACATTCGTTGTCCAGCAGTTTGTAAACAAACAAAATGATCGTGTTTACTGGCCATAGAGCTCAACTGAAAATGTGCACCTTCGGTTGGCCACCCGAACTCAAGCGCCGGCATGGTGATGGTGTGGGCCGCCATAACAGCCGATGGTCGCTCTCCGCTCGTATTAATCGACCGTGGCATCAGAATAAATGCTGAATATTATCGCGAAAATACCTACAATGGCCACCAAAATTTCCGGATACCAATCTGTTAGACTATTGTGTTTGGAGTATTTTGGAAAGCAAGGTTGGCACTAAAAAATACCAAAGTGCCGATCACCTCAAGCAAGCGCTTCGCCGGTAATGAGCCAAAATACCGCAGAGCAACATTCGGGCAGCGTGTGACGGTTTCATTGACCATTTGAAGGCCATAGTTCGTGTTAATGGTGACCAATTCGAACAAATCTAAACTTATTCTAAAATTTGATGCTTTTTCCGACTTTTATTAAATTTAAAATTAAAAAAAAAATTGTAAAAATTATAACGTTTGACTTTGTTGAAATCTTTTTATCTCACCCTGTATTTGATACAAGTGCACGAAAGTACCGAATAATACTATATTTGGTGCAAATTGGTATTGGTATAGTGTTTGAAATCTAACATTTGCTATTAGGGTTGCCGTTCATGTGTAGCCTGGACATATGACGGTGGTTGTGGAATTGTACGAAAAGTAGTAGATGGTACTAAATTTGGTATTGGATGAGAAGAGAGGGCTGGAATCCTTAAATTTGCTATTGAGGTCTCTGTTGTTATCTTGAATTGAGATATGGATGTGGTTTTTGAAGTGTGTACTATAATTGTACTAAATGGAACTAAGCTTTCTAATAGGGGAAATTACAGACTGGAAATCCAGAAATGTTACATTAAGGTCGGTGTTTGGTATCTTTGAACTCGCACCAAACCGATATGTTCTACCTCGGAAACTTGACACAAGACGATCACTTTCTCATGGGTTTTTCACTCCCAGACATTAGGTTCCAATTTGTGCAACTGTGAATTAAAATTACATTTAAATGACAACCAAATAGGTTGCCAACTATCAGTCTCCGGACATGAAAATATTAATGAACAAAATGTAAAATAATAACCCGGGAAGTGTTACAGCTGAGCGGATACAACAGTTGACTGATTCCGACTGAAGCGTTTCAACTTGTTTGCCAAAAATGTCTTAATGGTATCATCCCATATCACTTAACAACCAGCTTTTAAAAGACAACTTTAAATACTTAAAAAAAGAAATGGGTAGATATAAAAGTAAGGTAAAAAATCCAGTCATTTGTGCCTTTTGTGGTCAAAAATACAGGTTTAGTTTATTTTGCAAAAACGTGTCTCCACGAATTTGTTTTTCAGCAGAAGGCTTAGAATAATTTATTGCGTACTTTCCTAATAACAAATCGTCTATTAACTGTTAATTGAACTCAATTTTATTTAATTGAAATAAAATTAAAATACAAATTAATTTCATTTTACAACATTAATATGCAATCGAAAACGGAGTCAATGAATGGAATGTTGCACTGTCAATAGGAATTTGCTACACGTCATCGACATCGATCCCTATACCAGCAGATCGTAGAAAAATTAACATCTAAATTAGCCAACGTCTCACCTCGTTCACTTGTGTTTGCAATTAGACTACGTGTGTACTCCACCAGGTCATATTTTTTGGGATACATGTTTAACAATTTGTTTCATCATTACTTTTCCATTGCTTAAAATGTAGATTCATATTCAAAACGATTGCATACTTCCAAAGAATATTATTTACAATAAGTTAAATACAAATTTTAACGTTACCGCTCGACTAATGAAGTTCTTTTCGTGAATAAAAGGGGCTTTGTTCCGGGACCTGGACGAATCTACTAGCTTTGTAATTTTTATAGCCTACAACACTATGTGTTGTGGTATTATAAGTCTGATTGGGCCAAAAATTATGTAACACCTCGAAATATTGGTTTCCCACATAGAAAATGGATCTTCCTATCTCGCCGAGCTGAGTCGATCTAGCTTTGTATGTCCGTTCGTCCGTCTGTCCATGTTAATTTGTAATCACTCTACAGGTCGAAATTATGGCCTAATCTTCACGAAATTTAGAATAGAGGTGGGGCTAGAGCTGAGGGCTTGGCAGAAGTATTTTAATTCTAATTGTCATCGGGTAATATATAGTGGGTAAAATAAAACGCAACATTTGTGTTAAATAAAAGTCAAATTTTCCAATAAACCGCCAATATTTTTAATCCAGGCAAAACACAAATAGACGAACAAGTCAATTCTGACCGTTACGTAGATGCCGATAATAAATATATCGGATATATAGCGAAACATATACAATGTGTATATACAAAGGAGGGGGATGTTAGCTAGAATGCTTATATCTCCAGAATGGCTGGACCGATTTCGACAAAGTTTGTCAATGCAGAATGCCCTCCTGGCATAAAAGAATAATATTATTTTTCATAATTTTCATCGCATGCGAGTTTTCTGATTTGCCTTAAAATACTGAAGTGTATATTTTGTAATATTTGTTCACCTAGCAACACAGGTTGGGGTTATTATATACACATTGCAATTATCGTCCGATCCTCACGAAATTTTTCACAAGGGTAGGGTTAGGCTCAGAAAATCTTTGTCTATTGTTGTAAATATGTCCGCAATATATTTAGGGGTTGAAATGGACCAACAACTAAAATGTTCCTGATTTTGCAGCCGAAATAGAAACCAACGGACTCGAATCTCGCATGAACAAAAAACAGAAAAATATTCCTGATCACACAATCGAAACCAATCGGCACGCCTGAGAAGAGAGTTAAGGACAGGGAAGAAGTCTAGCATTTTGCATGACAATTAGATTATATTTAGCTGTATGGACTACAACAACTAACAACTCGACGGAGTGCGCAAATATTGGGCAAATGTCGCTGGTCATAAAGCTAAGGGTAATATCATGGCAGTGTTCTATGACATAATATCAAAAGCGAAATCTTCCAAAATGGATTTGGACATAAGAGGGCTTTTAATATATTTTAGTGTTGTAGAATATCACATGGTCGGCCCCGCACGGCTATAGCTTTTGCTTACTTGCTTATGATATCATAATCGTAGTATTTTTTACATTCCTACAGTTCTGGAACAAAATACTAATCCTTTTGCAAAGGAGGGTGCACAAACTTCGTCTTTCCGTTTGTAACATCCCAAAAATTCGTCATGGACCCCATAAAGTATATATATTCATAATCAGCATCAAATTCTAAGCCGATTTAATGATGTCCGTTTGTCTGTTGAAATCACGATTCAACGCACATTATTTGACGTAGAACTTCAACATTTGGCAGAACAATTTGTATTGTGTCTAGGATGGTTGGTATTGAAAATCGGTCTATCGGTCCAAGTTATTCGGTATTTTGGTATTTGTAGGTAATAATGGGTTCAAGCTCCGGTGACGAAACATTGTATATATAGGTCCATTTTATGTATAACGGTAGCTACCGATAATCTGTATTTTAATGATTTTTGCCAAATTTTTTCACGGATTTGTCTAAAAATTTCTCTTTGTAGTTTGTAATGGGTTCTAACTCCGGTGGCAAAACATTGAATATTTAGGTCCACATTTTCCTATAGCGCATATGTATTACAATCCTAGTCACATTTACCCAAAAATAAATTGTTTTAAATTTGGTATTTACAAAGATTTGGTAGATGACATATTCGGCCAAGCGAAGCAACTCTTTAGCTCTTTTGGGTCTATTTTCTTTCTGTTGCGGTGTAAGTTCTTGCACTTTTTGGAATCGTAATGGCTTTACCCTGAGATCATTTTTCAATATTTGCCGAATGGAATGTTGCGATATGTTCAGCTCACGAGCCATTTTTCTTCCGCTGCGACGCAAGTTTCGATGAAGTTGCTTCTTTACTTTTCGAAGCATTTCTGCTGATGTTGCTGTTTTCCTCCGTCCACTTTCTTGACGTCGGATTACGCTTCCAGTATTACGGTAACGAGCGATGGTACGAGACACAAAAGATTTGTTTACACTTAAATGCTGGAGTGCTCTAACGATAGCCACTTGTTGTTTTCCAGCCAAATATAAAGAAATCACACTATCACGCATGAATAATTTCAACAGCTGTCGGACGAGTGGCTCAAAATGACAGCAGTCTAAAGTTTGTTGCAGTTTCTTCATCTCACCCTGTATAATACAAACATTACCAGAAAATTGTATGAAAAATTTGTTACCAGAAAAATGTAAAAATTAACTCATTTCACAAAAAAACAAATAAGCAAAGGCTACAGTCGTGCGGGGCCGACCATGTGATACCCTACAACACTACAATATTTTAGAAGCCCCCATATGACCAAATCCATTTTGGAAGATTTCGCTTGTGAAATTATGTGACGGAGCACTGCCCAGATATTTTTGACCAGGGACATTTGCCCAATATTTACGCACTCCGTCGTATTTTGCGATCATCTCCAAAAGCAAGAGGCCCCTCTGTATCTCCAAATTTAGACTTTTCTATACTATCTTCTTGTCTACGATATTTGGCTATATTCGTCAACGAAATCATCAAAAAAAGGCAGAAGTTCGCATTTTGTGTATTCGGCAATCGCCTGTACGTAATGTTGAAATTTTTTAGACACAAGTAGTGGTCCATTCTACTCGCTGTCCTAAACTCTAACTTCATGCGAGATTTCGTGTCCTTTGGTTTCTATTTATGACCTTTATAACGGCTGCAAAATCAGGAACATTTTTAGTTGTTGGTCCATTTCAACCCCTAAATATATTGCGGACATCTTTGAAAACAATAGGCGTAGCCCTTCTGAGCCTAACCCTACCCTTTTCGTGAGGATCGGACGATAATTGCAATCTGTATATAATATCCCAAACCTGTGTTGTAAGGTGGAAAAATATTACAAAATGTAAACCTTAATATTATAAGTCAAACTGAAAAAATCGCATGCGATAAAAAATACGAAAAAATAAAAAAATGTCACAATATACTACAAAATCTATATTAGCATCATTTTTGACTTTTTTTATGCGATTTTTTTTTTATATTTTATACTTTTATGTCAAGAGGGCATTCTGAATTGACAAAATTTGTCAAAATCGGTCCAGCCATTCTTGAGATATAAGCATTCCATCTAACATTCTTTTCCTTTGTATATATTTCGCTATATATATCCGATATATTTACTATCGGCATCTACGTAACGGTCAGAATTGACCTGTTCGTCTATTTATGATTTCGCTGGGACTAAAAATATTCGCGGTATAATGGAAATTTGACTTTTATTTATCACAAATGTTATAGTCTTTTTCACCCACTAAATATTACACGATGACCATCAAAATTGGAAGGCTTCTGCCCAGCCCTAAGCTCTAGCCCCATGCTAACTTCCACTTTTATTGGTCCATAATTGCGACCTGTAGAGTGATTACAAATGAACATGGACAGACAGACAGACGGACGGACGGACATGCATAGCTAGATCGACTCAGCTCGGCGAGATAGGAAGATCCATATATACTTTCCTATGTGGGAAACCAATATTTCGAGGTGTTACATATTTTTTGGCCCAATCAAACTTATAATACCCCCAACACATAGTGTTGTAGGGTATAAATATTTGTGGCTCCGCCATCATTCAAGCATGTTTCATTCAGCAACCCGAGCCCGCAAGTTGGGTTAAAATTAATAATGTTATATTCGATAGTTCAAAGATTTGACCGCTATTTTCAACCAAATCACCTGAAATATGACATTTCACGTTCTCAGTGGTTAGATAAATCCTTCGCCAAAAATACAATGCAACGGTACTTCCCATGGCACAATAAGGAGGTAGAACAGCTCCGTAAAAGTACTACCTTTAATGTATTACCTTTAATGTGCGCCCTGCATTGTACATTACTTCCAATCATTGAATAAAAAAAAAATTTTTTTTTTTTTCAAAACAATAAATAAATTCACAAATTTTGCAGAAGTCGGGCACACATAAAAAAACTTGTAATCAGTTGGTAGCTCTAACTTACCTTTTTACTGTACCATGGTACCTCCCAATTTCCGAATTTCAAAAGTTTGGGCCCCAATTTTTAAGCAAAATTTATATTTCTGGTTCTTTGTTCTAGTAACGATTTTAAGGATATTGTCAATTTGACCATAAGTCAAAGCTATATATGGTACAAGAAATTTGGCCCTGCTGGAGCGTAGAGATATATGTCAAATACAGTTTTTGCGTTTTTCAGTGTAATTCATAGTCAAATTGATTCTATTAAGCATGACTATTTTGCAAGAACGATCTACATTTTATTTAATTCTGATCTATTCCAGAACCTGCAAGAATCTTCTAGTTTTGCAAATATAAAAGTTGTTTGCTTTTCTTAATGGTTTTGCACTTTGTTTTCGCACGGTAACACGGTGATAAGATTTAAACCAAAATGAATAACATTTCTTGATTAATTGTTTGAACAATAAATTATATTTATTTTTGTTAATCCAGAATTTAGACTTTAGGAATGTGATCGCCAACTGGTTGGAAACCTTTCTCATCGGCAACATAATTAACGGTGTAAACCTTGCCATCGTGAGGATCCTTGTAAGAGTAGGTGCCATGGACCACAATGGCATGGTGACCTTCATGAACGTGTTCATCTCCGGGGAATTCCTTGAGCTTACCTTCTTCGTGGCGAGAGAAGCCATCGCTAGTTTCGGCTCTGTAAATATTGAATGTGTACCCATTATGTAAATCGTATGTAAGGTTTTAAAAACATTCGAACTTACACAAATGCATAACTGTCATGTTTAAAATCGGTATCCAATTTGAGAATCTCAGCATGATCATGATGTTCATCATGATCGGGAGCAGGAGCAGCCATGGCAATGGCAAAGACGACGACAAAAACAACAAGGATTTTCATTTTTTGGCCTTTTTGAAATGGAGATTGTTTAAAAATCCAAAACTTTTTGAATATAGATGTAAGTTCATGCAGTCTTTTTATACCAATCAAACGAAGTGCATCAAATTCTGATTGTTTTGTATCTAATCAAAGTTAAGTAGAAATTATTTGACAATTATTTGTAATAGACTTTGGTAAAACATGTTTTTCAAAAATTTCGAGTTCATTACTTGCAAATTTATAGCTGAAATATATTCTTCAAAAGGGAATTTAAAGACAAAGCCGCACATTCCGAAAATCAGGTCATAGCCCCGTAAAATATGCGATTTTGCCTTGGCAAAATTTTGATAATACCCATTTTGTTCTGACCGTAAGGTACGTTCTAAAACAGTTTGGCGCCAGATCATTGTGCTAAGCTGCCAACATGTCAACAAATTGTAATTAATAATTTCATTAGCTATAAATGTCAAATCAATATCATATATATTGTGGGGCTATGACCACGTATTCGAAATGTGCTCTTTGATCAATTATCTGTATCTCTTAATCTATATTTGACGAATACATTTAAGCTATCAATTTGGAAAGTAATGAACTGCAATTTTATACGAGCACGTTTGACGAAAGCCCATTACAAATAAATGTCAAATAATTTATACTTAACTGTGATTAGATACAATCAGAAATTGATCCACTTCGTTTGATTGGTATAAAAGGGCTCTATGAAATTACATTCATATCCAAAAAGTGTTGGCCATTTCAACAATCACCATTTCAAAAGAAACAACAATGAAATTCCTTATTGTTCTTATCGCGGTTGTCGCCATCGCCTTGGCAGCTCCTGCTCCCGATCATGATGAACATCATGATCATGCTGAAATTCTAAAATTGGATACCGATTTTAAACATGACAGTTATGCTTTTGTGTAAGTTCAAATGTTTTCAAAACATTTCACACGATATTCAAATGGGTATGCATTCAATAATTACAGAGCAGAAACCAGCGATGGCTTCTCCCGCCACGAAGAAGGCAAACTTAAGGAATTCCCCGGCGATGAGCATGATCATGAAGGTCATCATGCCATTGTGGTCCATGGCACCTACTCTTACAAGGATCCTCATGATGGCAAGGTTTACACCGTTAACTATGTTGCCGATGAGAAAGGTTTCCAACCTGTTGGCGATCACATTCCTAAAGTCTAAATTCTGGATAACCAAAAATAAATATACTGTATTATATGGATGCCGATAAAAGAAATTAAACATGTTATAGAACTAATTCTCGTTTCAACTTTGCCAAGGCTTATGTTATAATTGTAAGAAGGTAGAAGCAAAACTATGACAAATACTATTCAACAATATTTGACCTTTTGTATTTGTCCATTCATTGATGCCCTCTGACGTGATAATAGGTATTCAAAACAATTTCACACGAACGTTGTTATAAATTTTACATTTTGCAAAATTAGAATAGTTTTCAGTTATTTATTGTTCCATTTCAACAAAAACAATAGGCTTCCATTCTGACCCGAGGTTATGCCATACTTACTAGTCGATTTGTTTAAATATAAGTAGTTATTGGTTTCTTCGTGAAAAACAATCTTTTCGACAGGAGATGTTTAATATACATATAATATAAAGGATAATGGCCCTTTATGTATATATTAAATTATATATATTAAAAAAGTAAAGCAGTAAAGAAAGTCTTAAAGTCGAGCGGGGCCGACTTTATGATACCATATACTACACTGCATATTTAGTAGAGCTTCACATAACAAATAAAAGCTTTTATGTGGAATTTGTGAGAATTAAATCATGCCAACTATGATTATAGTTATAATTAAAATCTAAAGGAACATAAGCTGTGGCAAAGTTGATCCTTCTCTTAATAGATTTCTCCTAAATTTATCGAGGCATTTGTGTCTTTTCAATTCGGGCTTATATTACCCATTTGGTGCACAATTAACTTGAAATCGGATAAGGATATATATGGGAGTTATATCCAAATCTGAACCGATCTCGATAAAATTTGGCAATGGCATTTCTCAGCTGTATTTGATATATTTCCCCGAATACCGTTACTACCGAGTGGACATTATGGCTGTACAGAATAAATTCAACAAATCGGATGAAAACATATATATGGGAGCTATAGCTATATCTGAACCGATTTTCACCAAATTTGACATACTGGTTTCTAGACCAGATTTGGTCGTAAGAGCCAAATTTCATCCCCTTTTGGCTAATATTACTCCTTTGGCGCACAAAAAAGGCAAATTTGACGAAGCAAATGATTTATCATCTGGATCGGGCAATAAATGCGACCTGTACTTTGTTTACAAAAATACATGGTCAGATGGATAGACGGACGGACATGCATAAATCGACTCAAAATGTCATCTATGCAGATCATCAAAAGAAACTATGCGTCTATCTCGTTTCCTTTTGCCTGTTACAAACAAATGCACAAACACATAATACACCGACCACCTTGTGGTGTAGGGTATAAAAAGCAGATCAGTTCGGCCGGGCCGAACTTTTAATATCCTCTACCATTTTGAAGGATCTTGAATAATTTCAAAAAGAAAATCGTTGAAAAATATCCCTTAAATGAAAACCATTATATGAGGACTTTTGTGAGGTCTAAAGTTATTATTTCGATGAATTATAAACGGAATGACGAACTTAATATGTATGGTGGAGGGTATAAAAAGGGTCAAATAAGTAAAAACTAATTTTGGAAATTGAGTGTTTTAAGCACCAAATAAAACAATTCTGGCAATATTTACAACGGGTTATTCTAGGATTTGTATCCTTAAACACTGACATAAAATAAAACTTAATTTGAGGACCGCAAAACAAGTAACAGGACCGGGAAAATTCCCTTGATATGAAGGATATTACATCTCCATTTTTATATAAACCACAAATATATATATATAATTTTTATTAAATCAAGTCAAGTACCTGGAAAATCATAACTTTGGTTGTTTTTAATAAGTTACAGTTCCGCGTTTATTTATTATTATTATTTTTTTTTTTGATTATAACAAATATTATTAACTTATTATTATTAAAACAACTAAAAAAGCAGTATGTTCGGTCGGGCCATACCCTCCACCATTTGGAGGGCATATGGGGAGATATACGATATTGTGGACCTATGTAGACAAATCTATGTCTGGGGGTAAAGAATTCACAAGGAACTCCATGTGATAATTGGATAATTCCATTGGAAAATGTGGGTTAAATCATCAAAAAATCGAATATAGGGGAGTACCGTTATATGGGGGATATACGATATTGTGGAGATTATATAGACAATTCCCTTTTAGGGGTAAAGTGCTCACAAAGAACTCCTTGTGTGGATTATCAGACCATTCCATTGAAAAATGAAACTAAAGTCATCAAAATACCCACAATTCAGTTGAAAAATATGGCTAAAATCATCAAAATACCGGATATCGATGGGGTACCGTTATATGGGGGATATACGATATCGTGGACCTATATAGGTATACAATTCTCTTTCTAGGGATAAAGTACTCACAAGAAACTCCTTGTGTATATTTTCAGACAATTCCGTTGAAAAATGTGAGTGAAATCATCAAAATACCGAATATCGGGGGGTACCGTTATATGGGGGCTATACGATATCGTCGACCGATAGAGCCCATATTCGTACTTGACGTCCCTGCAGACAAAAGAGAGATCTGTGCAAAATTTTAGCTTCCTATCTCAATTCGTTTAGACTGTATCGTGATTACAACAAACGGGCAGACAGACGGACAGTGAAATCGGAAATCGTCTTAGAATTTTACGGTGATCGAGAATATATATTCTTTGTTGGGTCTAAAATGATTATTTCGATGAGTTACGATGACGAACTTAATTTGGTCTATATTTACGCACTCTCGTGCTTTTAGTTGTTGTGGTGCATTTCACAGCTAAGTGTAATCCAATGGTCCTCCAAAATGCTAGAATTCTTCCCTGCCCTTAACTCTCTTCTCAGGCATGTCGATTGGCTTCAAATGTGTGATCAGGAAATTTTTTCTGTTTTTGGTTCATATTATATTAAATATTTCCAAAAGCAAGAGACCCCTCTGTATCTCCAAATTTACACTCATCTATATGGTTTGCTTGTCTACGATATTTGACTATATTCGTCAACGAAATCAGCATAAAAAGCCAGAAGTTCGCCTTTTGTGTATTTCGGATAACGCCTGTAAGTAATGTTGTTATTTTTTCACACAAAAGTAGTAGTCTATTCTACGCGCTGTCCTAAACTTTAACTTCATGCGAACTTTCATTTCCGTTTGTTTCTATTTGTAACCTTTATAACAGCTGCAAAATCAGTAGCATTTTTAGTTGTTGGTCCATTTCAACCCTAAATATATTATGGACATCTTTGAAAACAATATTATGAACATTTTTGTGAGGATCGGTTGATAATTGCAATCTGTATATAATAACCCCAATTTGTGTTGTAAGGTGAAAAATATTACAAAATATACATTTCAATTTTAAAAGTCAAATTATACTATAATACTTTTATACAAAGATGGTATTCTGAATTGACAAAATTTGTCAAAATCGGTCCAGCCATACTTCAGATATAAGCATTCTAGCTAACATCGCCTTTCTTCTTACGTATATACATTGTAAATATTTCGCTACATATATCCGATATATTTATTATCGGTCAGAATTGCCTGTTCTCTATTTGTGATTTCGGCGGGATTAAAAATAGTCACGGTTTAATGGAAAATTTGACTTTTATTTAACACAAATATTATGGTCTATTTCACCCACTAAATATTACACGGTGACCATCAAAATTGGAAGGCTTCAGCCCAGCCCTAAGCTCTAACTCCATGCTGACTTCTGCGACGATTGGTCTATAATTGCAACCTTTAGAGCAACTGTAAAATCAAGAAAATTTTCAGTGTTTGGTCCATTTCAACCACTAAATATTATGCGATCATTTCCAAAAACAAACGTCATCTACTCTAGCCTCACTCCCATTCTAAATTTCGTGAAGGTCGGCCATAATTGCGACCTGTAGAGTTATTAAAAATTAAAATGGACTGACGGACGGACATGGGCGAGATAGGAAGATCTATATATTTTCCTATATGGGAAACCAATAGTTTGTGGTGTTACATAATTTTTGGCCCAATCAAACTTATAATTTCCCCAACACATAGTGTTGTAGGGTATAACGACAACACCGGGATTAGTAATAAAATGTCCCAAATGTTTAACAAACTGTTTTCAGGATCAAAAAATATATATTTTCACAGATTTCTTTCCAATTTTATCCCACTTGTAGGTTGTGTGTATGTGATCGCTTACGACGAAGTAATATGGCGCCATACAACAATAGGTAGATACAAATTAACAGTGAGCTTGTAAATGTTAACTGACAAATTATTTCACAGTCTAGACAAATTTTGGTTTCAAAAATTCCACAGCTATAAATGTCAAATTAAGAGCACATATATTACAAGGTTATGACCAAATTTTCGGAATTTGCTGATTGATCAATTACTATGCGTATGCTATGACTGTTAATCCCAAATTTTATGGAGCAATTTGAGTTAACAAATTGAAAAGTAATGAACTTTTAATTTAAGGAGAACAAGTTTGCAAAAAAGGCCTATTACAAATATTTACTACAATAACAATAAATTGATAAAAAAACGTTTTTTATTTTTAGGAGTCGCTGCGTTCGATTTGTATAAAAGGCCTCTATGAATGTTCATCCATATCCAGAAAGTTTTCGGACAATCATCAACAAAAATGAAATTCCTTATTGTTTTTCTCGCGGTCTTCGCCATTGCCTTGGCAGCTCCTACTCCCGATCATGAAGAACATCACGATCATGCTGAGATTCTCAAATTGGATGCCGAATTTAAACATGATAGCTATGCTTTTGTGTAAGTTTGAACATTTCTAAATCATAACTTTTGATTCTTACTATATAATGAATATTTTTAAAAATTACAGAGCTGAGACCAGTGATGGCTTCTCGCGTCACGAAGAAGGCAAACTCAAGGAATTTCCCGGCGATGAACACGATCATGAAGGACATCATGCCATTGTGGTCCATGGCACCTACTCTTACAAGGATCCTCACGATGGCAAGGTTTACACCGTTAATTATGTTGCCGATGAGAAAGGTTTCCAACCAGTTGGCGATCACATTCCTAAAGTCTAAATATTCGAAAAAACACGAAGAAAATGTGTTAACGATTTAAACGAATGTCAATAAAAAATCAATATATAATGTGAGTACTCTTTGTTTAAATTTCCTAATTAAAAAGCTTAAATGACCTGTCAATTTTATTTGTAAGATAGAACGGGTTAAAAGGTTTTTTTTAAGCGACCATTTTTTAAAAAATCGCCGGAAACCTCTTTTAGCTGAAAGCGATGTGACTTTGGAAAGTGGCTACGTTTAGTGTAGTCCCAAAAATTTTACTCCAGAAATGTTCCTTATCATGTTCGAGATATTTACCATTCTATCGGTAGAATATAGTTCACAGAATTTTCTCAATTTCGGCATTTGAAGTTCTTTTTCACAGAATTTTCTTAATTTCTGTTTTAAATTCTTAACTGCCCTTTAAAAGACATAGGTCAACTTTTCTTGTGCATATAACCGCACCACTTTTTTGTTTATACATGTTAATCTAAACTTCAAATCATAATATATATCTATAAACAAATAAAGAAAGGTCAAAAGTCGGGCGGGATCAAACTTTAGAATAAGTTTACATTTGTCCGAATCGGTAACCTTTAGGCACGAATTATGGCCTTCAAATGGCCAATGAAACCGTCACACGCTGCCCGAATGTTGCTCTGCGGTATTTCGGCCCATTCCCGGCTAAGCGCTAGCTTGATGTGATCGACACTTTTGTATTTTTTAGTGCCAACCTTGCTTTCCAAAATACTCCAGACACAATAGTTCAACGGATTGGTATCTGAAGATTTTGGTGGCCATTGTGCTCAGGAAATGAAGCGAGGAACCTCATTTTGTAACCATTCTTAGGTGGCGCGTGTTGATTCCTGACGGAATGTCCAAGGTCCGCGGCCAATATGTTTGCGAGCCCAATGCTTTAATAGGCTTTAATACACTGCCCAGAATATTTTCGCGATAATATTCAGCATTTATTCTGATGCCACGGTCGATTAATACAAGCGCAGAGCGACCATCGGCTGTAATTGCGGCCCACACCATCACCATGACCGGCTCTTGAGTTCTGGTGTCCAGAGTCTAAATTAGGAGACACAGAGAGGCTTCTTGTTTTTGGAGATGATCGCAAAATATTTAGAGGTTCAAATGAACCAAAAACAGAAAAAATTCCTGATCACAAAATTGAAGCCAATCGACACGCCTGAAAAGAGAGTTAAGGACAGGGAAGAGTTCTACCATTTTGGATGGCCATTGACTTCTAACATATTGTAGTGTTGTAGGGTAGCACATGGTCGGCCCCGCACTTCTATAGCCTTTGCCATGGGTGACATTAACTTCATATTGATCTTTCATTTTCAAAATAATGAAATTGTGAACTATCGAAGGGAAGATCACAGGGTGTAGCAAATTTATAAAACTGTTTAATGGATGAAAGGTGTGTGTCTATGATGCAGCACTTCTACAGGGTGATTTTTTTTTTAATGGTGATCTAGTCAAAGGCGTGCATGTAAATTCATTGAGACTTTTTACGCCAATCAAACGACGTACACCACCTTCTGATTGTTTTGTATCTAATCACAGTTAAGTAAAAATTATTTCTGATATACATTTGTAAAATGTGTTCATAAAAAATCGAGAGTCCATTAATTACCAAATTGCCAGCTCAAATGTTTCCATAAAATATAGATTGAGAGATACAGATAACTGATCAAACAGGACATTCCAAAACTCTGGTCATACATAGTCCCGCAAAATATGGGCACTTCATTTGGCATTTATTGCTAATGAAATTATTATATACCAATTTTATATAGGCCGTAAAATAATTTAATTTAGCTTAGCACAATAATATAGTGTTAAACCATTTTTAACGTACCTTACAACCAATATAAAATGGGTATAAAGAAATTTCTTTAGCTATACACTGCAAATCAAAAACACCTATTTTGCGGGGCTATATCTTTATTTGACAAATACATTTAAACTATATATTTAACAAGTGATGAACTCTAATTTTCTTATGCACACGTTTTGCAAAAGCCCATTGTAAATACTTGTCAGATAATTCCCCCTAATCTATGATAAGACACAAAACAATCAGAGATTGATGCACTTCGTTTAATTGGTATAAAAGGGCTCTCCGAATTCACATCTATATCCAAAACGATTTGAGCATTTAAACAATCACCATTTGAAAAAACACAAAAAAATGAAGTTTCTGCTTGTCTTAGTCGCTCTATTTGCCATTACCTTGGCAGCACCTGCTCCCGAGACTCTAAAATTGGATACCGATTTTGTGTAAGTTCAAATGTTTCGAAAACATTTCATAGTGGATATTCATTCAATATTTACAGAGCTGAAGGTAAACTCGAGGAATTGCCCGGCGATGAGTATGGTCCTGAAGGCATTGTGGTCCGTGGCACCTACTCTTTCAAGGATCCTCATGATGGCTCGGCTTACAACGTTAGCTATGTTGCCGATGAGAAAGGTTGCAAAATCGCTGGCGATCACATTCTTAACATTTAAATTCTGAACCAACCATAGAGTATATATATGGCATAGTTAAAAGGATATGAACAACAATTTCTAATATTTTTGTTTAAATTTTGTTAATTATTTCTAAGTGTTAATTAAAAAATCTTTCCAAACTTGCAACATCCATTTAATTTTTTTTTTTTTGCAACATCAAAAATTTTTTACATGGCTTTTAGACTTATAGCTTCGGAACATTATATACACATCACCATGTTAAATAAATACGTGCTAAATTTAATTCGTGTACACGAAGAGTTTGTTTGAAATTTGACATACATAACGTATTTGATGCATCAAATACTCCAAATCGGCCGAAAAATTAATATAAAAACTATATTCAAATCTGAACCGATATCAGTATAATTTGGCAAATTTATTTCTAGTCCAAATTCCGTCACACATTCCAGATTTCATTGAAATTAGAGATTTATAGCACAAAACATCAAATACATGAAATCGGACGAAAATGTATATGGGAGCAATATCTAAATCTGAACCGATTTCAATATAGTTTGGCGAATTTATTTTTGTAACAATTTTTGTCACTTATTCCGAATTTAATTAAAATCGGTCATTGAATATTTGAAATCGGCCGAAAATATATATGGAAGCTTTATCCAAAACTCAACCGATTTCAATATAATTTGGAAAATTTATTTTTATACCAAATTTCGTTACACATTCCAAATGTGAAAACTATATCTACAACCGATCAATAGATATGGCCATAAAAAATCTAAACTTTTTGGAGTTACTTCCGATTCGGATGCATTATCTCCAATTCCAAGTATGATTTGAAAAAATTATAAAGCCTATGTTACTTTCAGGCAATGCTATAATATATCTGGGAATTTTCAGAAAAATCAGTTCAGCGATTTTGAGTCTGTAAATTACAAACAACTAAACAAACAAATAATCAAACGTACAACCAAATATCAAACGTACCAATATCTTTTATAGATATTGAAGAGGATACCTATAATAAATCTGTTTTGAGAGTAGTTCATTAACCCCCAATAGAATTCGAAGTATCAAATAACTGATGATCAAGCTACAAAATTCTAAATTACAGCTCATTTGAATAAAAAATATGCTAATATGTTACATGAGGCTATTATAAGCAGTTAATAAATTCGTTTTAATGTATGTTCCATATCATTTAAAATAGCATTAGGATCTCCATTTATACAATATAATGAAAAAGTAAAGAAGCGACTTGATCGAAACCCGCGTCGCAGTGGCCGAAAAATTGCTCGTGAGCTGAACATGTCGCTATATTCCATTCGGCAAATATTGAAAAAATGAGCTCGGGGTAAAGCCATTGAAATTCCAAAAAGTGCAAGAACTTACACCGCAACTGAAAGAAAATAGACTCAAATGAGGTAAAGAGTTGATTCGCTTGGCCGAAAGTGGAGAACTGCCGAATTTGGTTTTCTCCGATGAGAAAACTTTCGTTGTCCAGTAGTTTGTAAACAAACAAAATGATCATGTTTAATTGCCAAAGAGGTCAGCTGAAAATGTGCACCTTCGGTTGGCCATCAGAACTCAAGCGCAGGCCATGGTGTGGGCCTCCATAACAGCCTATGGTCGCTCTTCGCTCGTATTAATCGACCGTGCCATCAGAATAAATGGCGACTATTATCGCGAAAATATTCTGGAGGGTGTATTTAAACATTTTGGCCGCAGACCTTGGACATTCGAATAGGACTCAGCACCATCGCACTCAGAACGCGCCATCTAAGAATGGTTACAAAATTAGGTTCCTCGCTTCATTTCCAGCGCACAATGGCCTCCAACATCTCCGGATACCAATCCGGATCCAATCCAATCAAGGTTGGCACTAAAAAATACCAAAGTGTCAATCACCTCAAGCAAGCGCTTCGCCGGGAATGGCCCAAAATACAGCAGAGCAACATTCGGGCAGCGTGTGACGGTTTCATTGGCCGTTTGATGGCCATATTTCGTGCCAAAGGTGACTAATTCGAACAAATCTAAATTTATTCTAAAACTTGCTGCTATTTCCGACATTTTTGCTTTATTCAATAAAATTTAAAAAAATGTAAAAATTATGGCGTTTGACTTTGTTACAGTTTTTTTCTCACGTGTACGTGTAAAAATTGCCTCCGTATTTCAACTATTATGAAGCTTTCAAGAATATTTAATCAAATGAATTGTAATTTGGTGTTTTAAATTCTTAAGCATAGAATATATTCAATATGGGTCCATTATTTTGCATAGTCCCAATATTTCTGTGCCTCTTGATATTCTGTGTTTCAATGTATTCAGCCACAATTTCTAACCGATTAAGCTGTAATTTGTTATTTTCCGCTTTTTGGTATTTCCCCCTTCGTACGGAGAACGTCATTGGCCCACATAGCGGTATTGAACGTTTCAAACTATTTTGGTCCTGGTTAAAATTTTCATTCTCGCAAAAGTAGTTCAATGTAGGTATAGACTTTGCTTGCACCTTATGCGAGAACGTGGACCAGTATAGACAATTTTCTGTCACAGACTGTAGTATCCATTACGAACTTCAAATACCAAAAACAACTTCGGTGAATAATGTAGCTAAAATCAAAATACCGAATATAGGGAGGAAACGTGATATGTGGGCTATACCAAAGTGTCGACGTATATAGCCCAATTTCAATTCCAAAAGTCCTGCAGAACAAACCATTTTATCAACCTACTTCAACTCGTTCGGAAGCTAGAGTGATTTCCACAGACGGATAGACGGGCGGACATCGCTAAATACACATATAATACATGCTGATCAAGAATATATATACTTTGCATGGTCTAAAATATTTATTTCGAGGTGTTACAAACGGAATGACAAACATAATATACCCTCCATACTATGGTGGAGGGTATAAAAATATGAACATTTATATTAAACCGGGAATATTTTTAATATCAGCGAAAAATCAAAACACAGGGAAAGGTTACTTCTGACCGTTACATTGATGCTGATATCTAGGATATCGCATATATAACAAACTATATACAATCTCATATTCCACAGAAGTGGATGTTATTTATATCGCATATAACTCAATAATGGCTGGACGGATTTTAACATTCTCACTAACTCAGGATGGCTTTTTGGCTTAAAAATTAAAATCTAGAAAAGTCGCATAAAAAGACGGCAATAACAAATCTCATATTGTCATATTTTTTATCTCACATTCTTTTTTTATTTTGACTTACAATATTGAACTGTACATTTTGTAATATTTTTTCACCTTACAACACTATGTGTTGGGGGTATTATATTAAGGTCACAATTATCATCCAATCTTCATGAAATTTTGAATCGGGGTAGGGTTAGGACCAGAATAGAGGTCTACTGTTTTTTTTTTTTTTTGGAAGATGTTAGCAAAAATTCAAGGTTTAAAAATGACCAAACACCTAAAAATTGTCCAAATGTTGAAGTCGCCTTACAGTTCTTAAAGAAGGAGGAATAGCTTTTTATACCCTACACCACAAGGTGGTCAGGGTATTATGTCTTTGTGCATTTGTTTGTAACAGGCAGAAGGAAACGAGATAGACCCATAGTTCCTTTTGATGATCTGCATAGAATCACTTTCTGAGTCGATTTATGCATGTCCGTCCGTCCGTCCGTCTGTCCATGTATTTTTGTAAACAAAGTACAGGTCGCATTTATTGCCCGATCCATATGAAATTTTGCAAAGTCCTTTTGTTTGGCCCAAGGACGAACCCTATTGAAATTGGAGATAATCGGTCAAAATTTAGATATAGCTCCCATATATATCTTTGTCCGATTTGCCTTTTATTGTGCACCAAACGTGTAATATCAGCCCGAATTTTATGGAATTTTGCATATACACCCAAATTAGGCCTGAAAATATGTATGTCAAATTTGATCAAAATCGGTTCAGATATAGCTATAGCTCCCATATATACTGTTCATCCGATTTGTTATTTTTGTCCACCGCCGCCGTAATATGCACTATGCAACAACAATATTTGGGGAAATATATCAAATACAGCTCAGAAATACATTTCCTAAATTTTGTCGAGATCGGTTCAGATTTGGATATAGCTCCCATATATAACTTCGTCCGATTTAACTTTTATTGTGCACCAAACGTCTAATATTTGTCCAAATGGGATGGAATTTGGCACTTACGACCGAATTGAGTCTAGAAGCTAGTATGTCAAATTTGGTGAAGATCGGTTCAGATATAGCTATAGCTTCCATATATATTATTCATCCGATTTGTTATATTTGTTACCCACAACCGTAATATGCACTCCGTAACAACGATATTCAGGGAAATATATCAAATAAAGCTAAGAAATATTTTTGCCAAATTTTATCAAGATCGGTTCAGATTTGGATATAGCTCCCATATATATCTTTATCCGATTTCAAATTAATTGTGCACCAAATGGGCAATACAATTCCGAATTTAAAGATACAAATGCTTCGGCATATTTAGTCCTTTGAACTTTAAATTATAATTATAATCATAGCGTGTATGATTGAATTCTCCCATAAAAACTTTTAATTGTTATGTGGAGCTCTACTTAATTAGCAAAGTGGTGTAGGGTATCATAAAGTCGGTCCCGCCCGACTTTAAGACTTTCTTTACTGGTTTATTTATAAAGATAGAGTTCAGGACAGCGCTGAAGCCCAGCATATCGTATAATATTTTGCTGGTAAAATTGACCACAATTTTGTGTGAAACAAGTAAAAAAGCAGCTAAGTTCGCCCGGGCCTAACTTTTTCAACTCTCCGCCGTTTGGAAGGATTTTGAAAAATTTCAAAAAACTTCGGAAAACTACCACTTAAATGAAATCTGTTATATGGAGACTATACGAAGACGTGGACCTGCTTACAAAATTTTTGTCATAGGCTGTAGCATTCATTACGAACTTCAAATGCGAAATTTGAATTCGAATATCGGGGGGTACCGTTAAGTAGGGGCTATACGACGTAGGACTGCATACGAATTTTTTCTGTAGGTTATAGTAACCATTTAAAATCTCCCAATACGAAATTTAAAACGATTGCGGTGAATAACGTCGGACAAATCATCAAAATATCGAATATCGGGAGCTGCCGTTATATGGAGGCTATACGAAAACGTGGACCTGCATACAAAAATGTTTTTTCATAGGGTACTACCCATTACAAACTTCAAATATGAAATTTGAAATAATTCCGGTAAATACTGTCGCTAAAATCATGTATGCAAAATTTTATCACAGTCCGTTCGAAAGAACGTCTTAGAATTTTACGCTGATCTATATATAAATATGAATAATATATAATTATAAATAATATAAATATAATAACATAAATAAATAATATAAATATATGAATTCGGAAAAGCCAAGTTAAAACTTTTGCAGGACTCTTTTAGAGATCTTATGTTTTTGGAAAATAATGGTTCCAGATCGATGATGATTATTCGAAAAGAGGAACAATTAAGTTCAATTAAGTTTACTTTTAATATGTAGTAGATAAGAGGATGTTTCTTAGGGGAATCTTCATTCTAGTCAAAAGAAACTTTATCGCAAATTGCAGTGCGAAGACCTGGACCTGTGTTGTATGAAATGGTCGGCCCCTTTGCTTACTTTTTAATAGATGTGCTATATCATTTAGGACTCTATCTCCCAAAATAAAGCCTGGAAGGCTGAAAAATAGGGCCGACATGTGGACATTTATTGACATTTTTGCTAGGGGTATTTATTTGAATTTAGTCGAATCATTATTTATAATAACAAGTAAGAATAGGCTACAGTCGAGCGGGGCCGACCGTTGAATACCCTACAACACTATAAAAAACCATACAGTTTATATAGGCGAAATACTCGAAAGAATTCCACAAGATATTGTGACAAATAATAAAAGAAAACCATCAGGTTTCGTTCTACTCGAAAGAATTTCACAAGATATTGTGACAAATAATAAAAGAAAACCATCAGGTTTCGTTCTCTAATTTTCGAATAATAGCAACTTAAACTAATTTGCTCATTTCCAATTTATTGGTAGATGTTGCACGTATATGGTCTTCATAGATCTGGAACCAATATTTCCCAAAGACCTATAATCTCTCAGAAGTGGCAAAAGATTAACATTTATTATTGGTTTTTGACTGAAACGCATCTATATGAGATACAGACATTTGACTATATTCTTTAACGAAATCAGCGTTAACGAAATAGTCAGAAGTGCGTCTGTCCTGTATTTGTGAATTCTCCAAAAAGTCACTGGAATGGACATTTTCGTATTTTGTCTACAAAAGTTGGAAAACTATTTCACACATTGAATATTTTTGGATGGCCATCCAAAACTGCTTGGCTTTTGCAATGTCCGGTAACCCCCATTCAAATGTGCGTGAGGATCGGGCGATAATTACGACCTGCTGACAATTTTGCAGTAGTTTTGGTCCATTCCAACCCCTAAATATATGGCGATCATCTCCAAAAAGAGTAGGCTTCTATTCTGACCCTCATTTTATCCCCATGCAAAATTTCATAAGGATCGGGCCATAAATGCGATCTGTATATGATATCCTGATATCCTAACTACTTTGTTTTGTTAGCTGTAGAAATATAACCAAATGTTTAATTCAAAATGAAAATATGCCAAAAATATGACAAAATTGAAAAAATATGAGAAAATTTTACAAAATCAATATTTTCATCTATATAGAGATATTTTTATGCGATTTTTTTAGAAGTTTTTTCTTTCCTGCCAAGAGGCCATTCTGAATTAATGAAAACTGTCGAAATAAGTTCTGCCGTTCTCGACATATAAGAGATTTTTCAAGCATATCTTCTTTGATAGACATATATATCGCACATATTTTGCTATATATCCGATTTATTGGATGTTAACATCAATGTAAAAATCAGAAGTAACCTTGTCATGGCTTTGTGATTTAGCCGGGATTTAAAATATTCGCGGTTTAATGAAAAAATTGAATTTTTTCAACACAAAAGATATGGTCTATTTTACCCGCTAAATATTATCCGATGACCACCCAATTTGGTAGGGTTCTTCCCCGCCCTAAACTCTAGCTACATGCGAAATTCCGCGTCGATCGGTCTATAATTGTGACCTGTAGAGCAACTGCAAAATCAGCAAATTTTTCAGTTTTTGGTCCATTTCAACCCCTAAATATTATGCAATCCTCTCCAAAAGAAATAGGGTTCTATTCTGACCTTAACCCCACCTACATTTTAAATTTCGTGAAGATCGGGCCATAATTGCGACCTGTAGAGTGATTACAAATTAACATGGACAGACGGACAGACGGACAGACGGACGGACGGACATACATAGCTATATCGATTCAGCTCTGCGAGATAGGAAGATCCATATATACTTTCCTATGTGGGAAATCAATATTTCGTGGTGTTACATAATTTTTGGCCCAATCAAACTTATAATACCCTCAACACATAGTGTTGTAGGGTATAAATATAAAAAAACAAGTTCCTAAATGAAAACAAACCTGGTTTACACAAAATAAAACAATGATCGACAAACAATTTACGGTTGTTTACACCCTAAATCTCCGAATGTATAAAATGTCTCGCTGCATTTGAAATGATATTCACAAAGTCGTGTACTTTCAAAGAAACATCATCCAAAATGAAATATCTTATTGTCTTGGCCGCTTTCTGTGCCCTTGCCTTGGCAGCACCAGCTCCCGACCATGATGAACATGCTGAAATTGTGAAATTAGATTCCAGTGTTGATCATGATGGTTATCATTTTGAGTAAGTTTAATTTGCTGGGCTGTGAAAATGCTAAGAGAACTAAATGTATGTCTAAAAATTTCAGAGCTGAAACCAGCGATGGCACATCATTCCATGAAGAGGGCAAACTCAAGGAATTCCCCGGTGACGAACATGACCATGAAAGCCATCATGCCATCATTGTCCACGGTTCTTACTCCTGGAAGGATCATCATGATGGCAAGACTTATACTGTTGAATATGTTGCCGATGAGAAAGGTTTCCAACCCAAGGGCGAACATATCAAATTGAATTAAACAACAAAGAATTGTGACAAATAAAACGAGCAATGTGCATTAAAAATGCAAGCGAAAATGTGTTTTGTCTTTAAAATTATTTGCAAAAGGTACAACATAATTGGGAACTTTATAATCGTATGCTGTAAACACCAGTCCATGTAAAAGTTCGTGACAATTGACCTATATTTCCGTCCTCTATCGTGGTAATTGGAGTTCAAAACAGTGTTGAAATATGTAGACTTTATGTGTCTCTCCGATAAGCTGGAGATCTAATTTTCATCACAAATTTCCTATACCTTCCAAATTTTTAGCATTTTACGTCGTTTATTGAATGAAAGCAGAAAATGTCGGAAATGGCATCAGATTTTAGAATAAGTTTAGATTTGTTCGAATTGATCACCTTTGGCACGAATTATGGTCTTCAAACGGCCAATGAAACCGTCACACGCTGCCCGAATGTTGCTCTGTGATATTTTGGCGCATTCCCGGCGAAGCGCTTGCTTGAGGTGATCGACACTTTTGTATTTTTTTGTGCCAACCTTGCTTTGCAAAATACTCTACTCTGGCGCGTGCTGAGTGCGATGGTGCTGAGTCCTGTTGGAATGTCCAAGGTCTGCGGCCAAAATTTTAGGCAAATCGATTGGAAAATATAGTCAAGACCTTCAAAATAGGTAAAATCAACATTATGAGGTCGCAACTCCAAAATATTGACCTTGAAATTGGAAGTATGTAAATTTAGTCTTGGTTGAAGGAATAGAAACAAATTTACAAAAATTGATATTTAGATTGCTGATCTGCGTTTGAGATTTAAAGGTTGTTTGAAAATGTGTCCTATATTTGCTATGGTTAATCAAAATTTTGACCTATTCTGTGGGAGGAGTGAGCCGATTTTAATCATATTCGCACCCGAATTAGATTTTCGAAATTAAGAATTTTTGATATCTTACCCTTCAAGGCTTGAAGATGTTGATGATCAACGTTGTGGGTTTTGAATACGCCTGTTCGTCCTTTCCGTCCATGATATTTAGAACTTGTCACAGTTACAGATATTAGCAAAAGCCTTATGTAAGATTCCTCCTTACTTTCGGTATGTGATTTGAATGTTTCCGCCAGAACTTTGAAAGAAAACTCTAAAATCCAATATTTTCTCTCTTGGCATACCAGATGGGATACCAGAGATGATATAAACTTTTCCTGCAGAAAATGTTTAGTGAAGGTTTATTGTTTTGTTATAATTCTCACATTTTCGGTATTTCGAAGTTTCAGATGCAATTTTAGTAAAGCAGATTCGCTTTGACTTGGGTGCCTAATAAATACAAATGCGGTTCACATTTCAATTTTGCTATAACTAGTGATTTGAGAAATTTTTAAGGTTCTAGTCACACCTTTCAGTGAAATGTCTGCAGTTAATATTTTTAATCCCTTCATATTAAAAAGTACTCCCAAAAATTGTTAACTGTTAATCCAGGTTTTGCAATAGGCCCAGTCACATCTACAGGCTACAGTTTCAAAATACCGAATTTTGGGAGGTACCGTTATATGGAGGCTATACGAAGACCTGGACCTGCATAGACAACTTTCTGTCATAGGCTGTAGCATCCATTACGAATCTCAAATACAAATTTGAAACAATTCCAGTGAATAATGTCGCTAAAATCTTAAAAATACCGAATATCAGGAGGTGCCGTTATATGGGGGCTATACGAAGACGTGGACCTTCACAGACAATTTTCTGTCATAGGCTGTAGCATCCATTAAGAATCTCAAATACAAATTTGAAACAATTCCGGTATGGGGGGCTATATAATAACTTGGACCTACATGGCCCATTTACGAACTTAACCTGCCTACTGGCGAAATATACATGTCGGCAAAAATGTAGCCTTCTATCTCAATTTGTTCGAAAGATTGTTGTGATTACAACAGACAGACAGACGGACATGGCTAAGTCGTCTTAGAATATACGCTGATCAAGAATATATATACTTTGTTGGGTCTGACATGAGTATTTCGAGGAGTTACAAACGGAATGACAAAATTAATATATCCTTCATAGTATGGTGGAGGGTATAAAAAACTGCAAAAAAGTCAAACGTCATAATTTTTACATTTTTTTAATATTATTGAATGAAAGCAAAACTGTCGGAAATATCATCAAATTTCAGAATAGGTTTAGATTTGTTCGAATTGGTCACCTTTGACATGAATTATGGCTTTCAAACGGCCTATGAAACCGTCACACGCTGCCCGAATGTTGTTCTGCGGTATTTTGGCCCATTCCCGGCGAAGCGCTTGCTTGACGTGATCGACACTTTGGTACTTTTTAGTACCAACCTTGCTTTACAAAATACTCCAATGAATTGGTATCCGGAGATTTTCGTTGCCATTGTGCGCTGGAAATCATTTTACACCCATTCTTGTTTTGCGCGTGCTGAGTGCGAGTCCTGTTGGAATGTCCAAGGCTTTAATACACTCTCCAGAATATTTTCGCGATAATATTCGGCGTTTATTATGATGCCACGGTCGATTAATAAGAGCGGGGAGCGACCATTGGCTGTTATGGCGGCTCACACCATCACCATGGCCGTCGCTTGAGTTCTGGTGGCCAACCGAAGGTGTACATTTTCAGCTAACCTCTTTGGCAAGTAAACACGATCATTTAACTTGTTGACTTGTTTTAGTTTTCACAAAAAAATTATTTCATTATTCCCAGTAACAAAATGCATTGCCCTATCAATGAAATTATATATGTTTGATTAATTCTGTATACTTCGTCAAACAATCCAGTTTGGTTAAGATTCTGCTATGAAAATTTTATAAAACAAAAAATAAACCGTTAGCGTTATCGACCTAATAACAGCCCAACTATCAAGTTTTAGGAGCACATTATAAAACACACAGCTGAGATGGCGATTTGAAGTTTTTTGACCCAAACGTTGGTTGACAAGACAATATTTCATTTGATAGTCTCTTATTTTGACAGTGGCCACAGCACGCCAATGTGTTGGAAGATTTACCAAACATGCACAATCTGGATTATTCAATAATTAAATTAAATTATTCTTTATTATCTGTGATACGGAATGGTACAATTGGTTATTCCCTAAGAACAAGTTATATTCAATGCATGCTAAAAAAAAAGACAAACTTGTACATACCAACAAGTACTCTGCAAGATTTACTTGACTCGATGATATAAATTGGCGAAGGCACCACTCAGCTATATTCACAAAGTCGCTTGCTCTTGAAGAATAATTAACACAATGAAATTCTTAATTGTTTTTGTTGCTCTCTTTGCCGTTGCCTTGGCAGCACCAGCACCTGACCACGATGAACATGCCGAAATTGTTAAGTTGGATTCCAGTGTAGACCATGATGGCTATCACTTTGTGTAAGTTTAATTTGCTACGCAGGGGATATGAGGATATTCTAAATGCTGTTTTTTACTATAATTACAGAGCTGAAACCAGTGATGGCACCTCCTTCCACGAAGAGGGCAAACTCAAGGAATTCCCCGGTGATGAACATGATCATGAACCCCATCATGCCATCATTGTCCATGGTTCCTACTCCTGGAAGGATCATCATGATGGCAAGGTCTACACCGTTGACTATGTTGCTGATGAGAAAGGTTTCCAACCCAAGGGTGAACACATTAAATTGAATTAAACTACGAAACTATACGATAAATAAATGAAGCAGAACGCATACAAAATGCAATTGTGACTTTTCAATAAGACAACAACATTAACAATAATTTAAGCAAGTAAACAAAGGCTATAGTCTTGGGGGGCGACCATGTGATACCCTGCAACACTACAATATGTTACAAGCTTCCTTATGTCCAAAACCCGGGACATTTGACCAATATTTACGCAGTACGTCGTGCTGTTAGTTGTTGTGGTCCATTTTACAGCTAAATATAATCCAATGGTCATCCAAAATGCTAGAATTCTTCCCTGTCCTTAACTCTCTTCTCAGGCGTGTCGATTGGCTTTAATTGTGTGATGAGGAAATTTTTTTGTTTTTGGTTCATTTGAACCCCTGAATATCATCTCCAAATGCAAGAGGCCCCTCTGTGTCTCCAAATTTAGACTCATCTATATGATTTGCTTGTCTACAATATTTGGCTATATTCGTCAACGAAATCAGCATAAAAAAGCCAGAAGTTCGACTTTTGCGTATTTTGGATTTCGCCTGTAAGTGATTTAAAGAGTGGTCCATTCTACCTTTATTTCGTGCCCTTTGGTTTCTATTTGCGACCTCTATAACGGCTGCAAAATAAGGAACAGTTATAGTTGCTGATTCATTTCAGCCCCTAAATATATTGCGGACATCTTTAAAAACAATAGGCCTAGCCCTTCTGAGCCTAACCCTACCCTTATGAAAATTTTCGCGAGGATCGGACGATAATTGCAATCTGTATATAAAAACCCTAACCTGTGCTGTAAATTACAAAATGTATTCTTCAATCTTATAAGTCTAATTGAAAAAATCGCATGAGATAAAAAATATGAAAAAATATCACAAAACACTGCAAAACCTATATAAACATCATTGGTATCTTTTTTTGGGATTTTCTTAACGGTTAGAATTGTTCTGTTCGTCTATTTGTGATTTCGTCGGGCTTAAAAATATTCGCGTTTTAATGGAATATTTGACTTTTATTTAACACAAATGTTATGGTATATTTCACACACTAAATATTATCCGATAACCATCAAAATTGGAAAACTTCTGCCCAGCGCTAAGTTCTAGTTCCATGCTAACTTTCACGTCGATTGGTCTATAATTGCGACCTGTAGAGCAACTACAAAATCAGGACAGTTTTCAGTGTTGGTCCATTTCAACCCCTAAAAGCAATAGGCTTCTATTCTGGTCCTAGCCCCAGAATTGTGCTTCTAAGAATTAAGCCATATTTGGAAATTGAGAAGTTTTGAATCTATTTTTATGATGTCCGTCCGTCTGTGGAAATCTATCTAGCATCCGAAGGAAATGGAGAAGGTTGATAAAATTTTACTCAGATGTACAAATTGGCAGCATGTGTTCCCATCATGTAAGAAACATCCTTGCATAGAACTGTCAATATACAGGATAAGATAAAAATAAAAACTGCAACAAAGTCAAATGCCATAATTTTTACATTTTTGTTTAAATTTTATTGAATGAAAGCAAAAAATGTCGGAAATAGCATAACATTTTAAAATAAGTTTAGATTTGTTCGAAGAACAATTCTTTGGCAAGAATTATGGCCTTCAAACGCCCAATGAAACCGTCACACACACACACACACACACATATATATATATATATATATATATATATATATATATATATATATATATATATATATATATATATATATATATATATATATATATATATATATATATATATATATATATTAAAAAAATTGCGTTCTAGTTGCGACACCCTTTATAACATCCCATGCCTTAGACAAATATTTCGAGGTGTTGCGTATTTTTTGGCCCTATCGCAACACACTATTATAATTATAACTTATAATACACACAATAGTGTTGTAGAGTATAATAAAGCCAAGATCTCAATAAACTAAAATAAAACATGTTAGCAAAGGCTATAGTCGTGCGGAGCCGACCATGTGATTGCCTGCAACACTACAATATGTTACAAGCTCCCTTATGTCCATATCGATTTTGGAAGGTTTCACTTTTGAAATTATGTCACGGAGCACTGCCCAGATATTACCCTTAGCATTTTGACCATGGACATTTGCTCAATATTTACGCACTCCGTCGTGCTGTTAGTTGTTGTGGTCCATTTTACAGCTAAATATAATCTAATGGTCATCCCAAAAAAGTGAAAAATATTACGAAATAAACTCTTCAATATTATAAGTCAAATTGAAAAAATCGTATGCGAAAAAATACAAAAATGTCACAAAATACTACAAAATTTATATTTAAATTATTATTGCCATCTTTTCATACGATTTTTTTTAGATTTTATACTTTTATGCCAAGAGGGCATTCTGAATTGACAAAGTTTGTCAAAATCGGTCCAGCCATTCTTGAGATATAAACATTCTAGCTAACATCCGCTCCTTTTGTACGTACACATTGTATTTATTTCGCTATATATACCAGATATATTTACTATCGGCATCTACTTAACGGTCTAAATTGACCTTCTCGTCTATTTGTGATTTCCCGGGATTAAAAATATTCGCGGTTTAATATAAAATTTTACTTTTATTTAACCCAATTGTTATGGTCTATTTCACCCACTAAATATTACCCAATGACCATCCTAATTGGAAGGCTTCTGCCCAACCCTAAGGTCTAGCCCCATGCTAACTTCAGCGTCGATTGGTCTATAATAGAGCAACTACAAAATCAGAAATTTATTTCAGTTTTTGGTTCATTTAAATCCCTAAATGTTATGCGATCATCTCCAAAAGCAATGGGTTTCTATTCCGTCAATAGCCCCACCTACATTCTAAATTTCGTGGGGATCGGGCTATATTTGCTATCGGGCTATATTGCGACCTGTAGAGTGATTACAAACTTACTTGGATAGACGAAAGGACGGACGGATGGACGGACATACATAGCTGCATCGACTCTGCTCAGCGAAATAGGAAGATACATATACACTTGCTTGTGTGGGAAACCAATATTTCGAGGTGTTACATAGTTTTTGGCCCAATCAAAGTTATAATACCCCCAAAACGTATTGTTGCAGGTTATAAAGATACATTGATACCGACAAAAGTGCAGACGTAAATTTATACGAAAAAGTGGGATTGGACCATTTTCCCACTAATTTTAAATCTGAAGTCTCTAATAAATTTAAAATAAATGTTAAAGCTCTACCTTAATTTTTTACACTTATATCGAAAACATTTGAATAACTATATTTATGGTTAAAGTGATCTACATAAGTGGCCCTAACAATCTACATAAGTGGCTCTGACAGAGTAATATCACCCGCACTTTCCAAATTGTTAACAGAGTTATCCAAAATTTTGAAAAAAAAAAAAAGTTTTAGATTTCAGTACCGAAAAAAGTCTCCCAATATATTCGGAATATGCATTCTATTTCAACGAGTTTAAATTATCGCCTCCTCATTTAGAGTTTCCCAAACCAATATTGTCTGTTGCACACTGTAATAAGCAGATGGATCAACTCCGCTGGAGGAAATATGATGATTATTATAATTAAAGCAATATTTCTGGGCCCAAAAATGACTTATTATATTCTCATTATCTCATTTTGTGGTTAAGAGAATAAATACCAGAAAGGTATAATTATTTGAACCTATTCGCGTCAATTTTTGCATTTCCACTTTGAAAAGGTAATGGTTATAATGACCCTATAATGACTACTAAAGAATGTGAACGACATACCACTATTTACATAAATTATAAAATAAACTAGAAAAGATATAGAAAAAGTCTTTAAATCTCATATATATATATATATATATATATATATATATATATATATATATATATATATATATATTGAGCAAAGATCCAAATAATCGGCTATCAAAATCAATTTAAAAGCTGCAAATCTTAAAACCAGTTTTGGGTTGGCAAGAAATCTGTTTGCTTTGGAAATAGACTCTGCCCCGTGAAATCCTAATCAAATGCATTTTAAGAACCAAAATTTTGATAATCATTTGAATATGATATAATCCAAATTTACTGTTATCATTACTTGCAGATAACGGCATTTAAAAATTAAATAACAATTATCGACATAGAATGGTGCGAGAGTTATTTTGGAACAAGTTTTACAAAATTCCCATACCAAAGAAGCTAAGGGTATAAAATACCCATTGCACCACAATTCGATATATGAAATTCTTAATTGTTTTTGTTGCTCTCTTTGCCGTTGCCTTGGCAGCACCAGCTCCTGATCATGATGAACATGCTGAAATTGTCAAGTTGGATTCCAGTGTAGACCATGATGGCTATCACTTTGTGTAAGTTTTTTATGCTACTCAGGAATAGGGATATTCTAAATGCTGTATTTTATTATAATTACAGAGCTGAAACCAGTGATGGTACCTCCTTCCATGAAGAGGGTCAACTCAAGGAATTCCCCGGTGATGAACATGATCACGAACCCCATCATGCCATCATTGTCCATGGCTCCTACTCCTGGAAGGATCATCATGATGGCAAGGTCTACACCGTTGACTATATTGCCGATGAGAAAGGTTTCCAACCCAAGGGCGAACACATTAAACTGAACTAAACCACGAGATATGATGACGAATAAAGAAGCAAAGTGCATATAAAATGCAATCTAATATTTTCATTCTTTTTAATGGGTTCTAATATTTAGAAATTAAATCGAATGGAGGGGCAAATTTCTCTACGAAATTCAACAGTTACATAGCCTATCAATCACTCACACGGACACCGTACTAGTCTTTCTAGTTTTATGGAAAATACGTTGATTCTTTCTGATACTTTATTCTGAAATTGTGCAAGAAAACATAAAAATCGAGAGTAAAACAGAATAGCCAAAAATGACTTGAATTTTTCTTCGAATTTTTGATTTGATTGTCAATCAAAGAAATCATAGATTTTTTGAAAATATATTTCAAAGACTTTCTGAACAAGAGTGACAGGCTTCCTTTGAATATGTCACAAGCTCTTTCTTGGCAAGAAGCGGGAACACTATTTTTTATAACAGGAATCGCGGATCTTTGAGATGTTCTTC